TTAAACTAACTAACTAACTTAAATTTTTATTGCAATATACGTTAGACATATGACGTTTTATATGTATATAAATTTATATATTGTATAATTAATCGTTTTATATACACTATTTGTATATTTCATTGTATATCATTGTATATATCGTTGTTTTCTACATTCTTAGTACATACCATCTTTGCGTTTATGCCTTGAATACGCTTAAAATTCTGTTTTATTCTAAATTATTCACGTCCTTGATAAAGAAAGTGTTTACACTTGCAGTCAAACTTATTAAAATAATTACGAGAAGTGCAAGTTTTAGAACTTGCATTTAATTGTAGAATGCACACAAATTCAAACAAATCGTCATCGTCATTATATTTCGCCTACTTTGCGCTACATTTGGTATTCGTCTTTTGTGCAGATGCACATTTTAAAGGCTGCAAAGCTCACATCTGTGAGTTATAGTATCCACAATTGTTTTTATATGAAAAATGTAATTATATACAAATTCATTAAAAGCAAAAACAAAAGCTGAGTATTCGTTGAAATGAATGCATCCAAACAAATAAATAAATAAACGAAACACATTTCACTTGCATAAATTTCAAAATATTTGCATACGCATGCCCACACATCGTCGCTTTTATTTGAAATACCTATGGAAATGTATCTTATGTGACATTAATAATACTAAGTTGTTAACAAAGTCATTGAAACCAAAAAATTAAAACTTTCAAAAGCATTACCTGCAGTTTTACTTAAAAACTTTAATGAAACTCAACTTCAGAGGTAACGAAATACATAATGTCAAACCAAGTTACAAGCCAGTATTTAATTAATTTACAAAAACAACTATAAGACATATAATAATATATATAATATAATAATTACTATATCATTACTTTAGTGCGAACAAATAACTCAATTTATTTCTATAGAACAGATAAGATGAATTATTTCATTATAACATTAAGACGAATAACATCCTCAGGGACCTCAAGATTGATCCGGTCAAAAAATACATAAAGAATAGAGAATTGAATTTATTTACGAAATCTGACAAGCTTACCAACACCGCGTTATTGAATTTTAGAATGGTTTCAAGCCATTCGGGGAGGCATACAGATCTACGGTCAATAATTGCTTAGTCTGATGAAGTGATAATCCAGTCAAGGTGTAGAGAGAGGTTATTAAGATACCTCGCAGTTAATAGAGAGTAAAAGTGTTCAAGTGCATTGATTCAACTAGCCTCAACATAAGTTAATATATGTTCCAGAATATGTGCCTATAAATATCAGGAGCTTTATATATCTTTCAGTTTTTTCTTTCATTCGTAAACACAGGCAGCATCCACCCAGAGTGAGAGTTGGTGACATTGTGATTAACTGGGAGGACAGCATTAAATACTTGGGAAACACTGCAATGCTTACAACCACTTATCAAACACAACAACTTTAGCGCGAAGAACAGAAAACCAGATAATTAATAATGATATATAACCAGATAATTAGACCAGCACCACCGCACTGCCGACTCTTTTATCCAAAAGCTACAAGTTGCTCAAAGTCAGGGTCTCCGAAGACTCTTCAAAGTGCCATGGTACATCCGCACGAATGACATGCTAAGAGACCTTAGAATAGATCCGGACAAAAAATATATATGTGACAGAGCCCTGAAGCTATATGCCGACAGGCTGCCCTACTTAGCACTATCTAATCTCAGAGTAATTACTAACCGCACGGGGCGGTACGCAGATCTTAGATCAATCATTAAATAATCGCGAAGATTATGAGGAATACTCAAATTAGTCAGTGAGATGGGAAGGACTCTGCAGAAACCTCTCAGCTATTAAAGAGTAAAAGCACTCAGATATACTAACTCGGAAGGTTGAACATAACTAAATGTTCATTCACAGCAGTTACTTTTGAATCTATTAAAGTTAGAGAAATATATTTATTTAAAGCTTATATTAACGAAGGAAAAAATTTGTCAACCGGAAGCGCAGAAAACGAAACAAAATTTATGGCAACCAAATTAATTATTGTGGAATCAAAAAATGTCAAACGTCCAGAAAAAATAAAAATCTTTAAGTTGAAAAAATACTTTTTTAATGTTTATATTTATGTGACATTGGTTGTTGTATATTGATTACTTATTTTGAATAAATTATTTCTTCAATATTATTTTATAAAAATATTAATAAATTGTGCCAATACTTTTTATGTTAAAGTTTTATTATATAAAAAAAATAGTTATTTATAGTTTTGTCCGAAGTGAGTTTAATTTCAAATTTTAGATTGAATTGAAAATAGATTGAAAAGAAAGAAATTTTGATATGTATTTTTTCATTGCAAGTCACATATATGGAATTAAATATATTTTATAGTTAAAGACTAAAATTTTAGTATTTAATAAAAATTTAATACTATTACATTTGTTTTTTGTTGTGCCCAATTAAATTTCAATTAAAATGCAATGGAAATAAAAGCAACAAAAGAATTGTTAAAATTGGTTTAAATGTCAGAGGAAAATTCCAATTTAACAGTGACAGCTACAAAAATTTGATAGCGACATTCCATATTTCAAATTTTAACCTGCATCAAGATAGCCTGAAGTCACCATACGAGTCTGATATTTCTGATAGTTGTCCGTTTTGTTAGGGGTAAGAATATTATCAGTTGGACTACCAACTCAACAATACACACTCAATAAGTCTTTGGATTTTTGCATAAAGATTTCAGACCCCCAAACTAGTTGTGAATTTCAAACTGACCAACCAAGTAAGCATGAATGTTTATTAACTAGTTCATATCTGATACAATAGATAACTGACCGAGAGTCTTCATTTTATCCTACACTGCACTTAACAAACTGCTCAACTATTTCAAATTGTTGCTGCTGTACATATATTTGCTGTACTCAAATTATTTTCTTTTAAATATACTGGAGAATCAATCTTTCGTCTGCTCTTATGGACTGTTATATATACCATAGTACTCATCTGCATTATAACAGCACTTTAAAAATATAGTATGTGTTCTATTCTTTAATACCATTTTACTGATTTGATATTTTTTGTTTTCTTATTTTAATGTTTATCTCTTGCTACTGACTTCAAAGTTCTCAAAAATAAAGCGATATGAAAGCTTATATATCAGTTTAAATATGTCAGAGCATACTGTCTTCGCTATATTGCAGAATATATTTAGCGTACTAGTCATACCAACTTACTAGCATGGAATAGCTACCAGTAGCTAAGCCACAGTCAGCAGCAATGCCAGGTTTATTACATTTGAAGAGATTTAAGCTTACATAGTTATGAGCACCTCGTACCAATATCTACTGAAAGCTCCAGCTCCATACCACTCGGTATGTCATATATTTTATTTTAAAATTATAACGACGATAACGACGAGGTCTGCAATTCTATGGAGTGAATAAAACTATATGCTTAAAAGAATGGTATATATACGAAAAATGAACACACTCTCTCTCTTTCTCTCTCTCTCTAATGACTGATACTATTACACAATTCATTATACTCATATGTCTAATTGTTAGAGCATGCGATTAACAAAGTTTTCACTGTACTTCAATTCAAATCAATGTAATATGGCAATTAATTGATTTTAATGTCACAATAATATATTTTGTTTAATTTTTCAAGGCAATAGTAGTCCAAAATATGTCAAGAATGTCCAAAATGTTATTAGACATGTGCTACTAAGACTTTGTATACCGAATTAGTTCCTGATTAATTTCAATTGAAATGTATATATGTATGTTTCAAAGTTTCAAAATTTTAATTAGCGAAAACGAATAAATTTGCAACTAAATGGAAAATTTAATGTTTCAACAACAACATAATTATAATCTAATATATTCTAATACAAACATTTTTTTTATTCTAACTTTTTAAACCAATTCCCACTAAACTGACTTCTAATCAAAATTCCAATCGAATTATGCATTTATTTACAAGAAAATCTTGGTAACATTAATGAAACATTGAACTTTCCACGAAAAGACTGGCATTAGTATAAATCGTACATCACTTCACACAGTATACGCAGGCAGACAACTTCATCAGCCAAATCGAAGAATAAAAGCCATTCCATGTTCCTTGCACTGCTTTACACCAGGCGGTACCATAAAAGCACTCAACCGTAATTATACACAATTTTCGTACAACATTTTTAGATGGAGGAGCAACGACCCGGCAGTACACAGCCAAAGACACTTAATTGACATTCAATGCATGCGGGTGATACCTTAATTGCATAAAACGTTCATTTAAATATTGAGATACAATTCCATACACACAAACACGTACATGTAACACAACAGTGGCCTTCAGCGTTTCGCTATACACAGACTAGCAGACTTATAGTCAGACGCTTACGGCCAGTCCTGATGTTAAAGTATTCTGTATTCTTTTCAAGTCATTAAGTACGAAAATGACTTCATAGTACCATGCTTAAATTTTGGGACACCTACAACTAAATTTTTGAATCCATATATGAAGTCAATAATATTTATTTATACTCTTCCCTGGCTTGGTCATGTCGTGCGAATGGAAAAAAGTGCTCCGGTTAGAAAAGTTTTTAATTTGGTACCTGCAGGTGTAAAGGTCGTCCGCATCTTCGGTAGAAGGACCAGATGACCAACGATTTGGGGGCGCTTGGTACTACCAACTGGCAACAGCAAGCAACTAATCGGGTTGACTGGTAAGTAAGTGACTAAGTAAGTAAGTGGCTTACTTGTTTAGTTGTAAGTAAACATACTATGAGATCTATTGTGCAATCGTAAGAAAAGTCTTTTAAGCTTATCCGAAGAAATTTAAATTGTTAATAAAGCTAAGAAATGTTTATCTCTTCGTATCAATTATTATTTATTCGAACCATTTACAAATAAGTAAATCGATCACAGGAACCTTAAATTTATTTTTTATATTAATAACATGTTCCATAATCAAAAATTTCTATATATAAAATATATGAACAATATTTTTAAAAATTATATAGAGAGTAAGCTGAATATTTTTCTTATACGTTCGAATTTCTGTTAATCAAAATTTTGGAAAAATTTTGTACTAGATTGTACGCTCTCCATAACAAATATTTTACTGTTGAGACCGTACAATGCAAAATTGTTTTTTAAATTCTACGTATCTTTAAATTTTGACACCAGAAATTGACGAAACACAAAAACCGTGTTAAATATTTTGAGGCATTCGAACGGTCCCAACCGCGTAAAGAAATGGCATTTTCTACACAAACTGAGTTCTTCAAAGTTGCGTTCTTGGATGATGAGGAGGAGGACGTACAATGCGAGAGAGTATGTATAAATCTAAAACGATACGAATCCACTGAAGATTTGAGGTCATGGTCAATACGACCAAATACTGTTTCAAGATATCTTACCGATCTAGTACGAAACGAGAACGCTGTTTGTGAATCAGGAAATGCAAACGCCGATGGAGATGCGGGTGACGGAAGCGGTGGTAAAGGAAAAGATAAAAGTGCAGTTGATGCTGATGCTAGGAGGGGACGTGGTTATGGTTCTCCTGGTGCTAGTACGGATGCGACTGCTGGTGCCGGTGGCAAAGGCAAAGGAAAAGATCGTACAGCAGATAAAGTTGGAGTAAGCGGCGATGGTGGTTCAGGAAGAGCTCGAGATGCAGATGCTGGTAAAGGTCCAGGGAAAGGTGTTGTACCAGCAACAGGTCCGGGCGGCGGCCCAGGAAGAGGAGGTGACCAAGGGGTTGGCGCAGGACCCAAAGCAGGACCTAGCGCAAGGTCAGGCGCGGGGCCTGATGCAGGGGCTGGAAAAGGTCCAGGCCAAGGTAGTGGGCCAGGTACAAGCGGCGCAGGTGCTGGAAAAGGAGCTGGTGCCGGTGCTGGTTCAGGTAGAAATCTGAAAGGTGGTGATAGTTTAGTCGAACTGGCTAGCGAACAACTTAGTAAAATGACAGGTATGTTACATAAACAGGGAAAAATGTCAAAAGATGGTGCAGGAGGTCAGGGGCAAGGTGCAGCGCCAATGGATGTAAATACTTTGAAAAAAAATTTGGCGCAAAAACCTAACGACAGTTGCATAGATGAATTGAATAAAAAGGTTAAGTCTTTGGTATCTGCAAATAAAATTAATTCAAGTGATGAAAGTGATTTTATGAAAATCAAAGAGCAAATGGAAAAGATACGAGATGGTTACGATGCCTTACGTGCTGAAAATGTTTACTTACAGCAAATTGTTGAGAAGTGTTCACCTAAACCCGGAAGCAATGTCGCACCCGAAACTAGTACCGATACAAAGTATTTGCAAAATGAAGTTAATAAATTGCGCAGCCAGCTTTCTACATCTAAATCCGGTTCAGGTGGCTATACTGATAAAGAAGTTGAGGCTATTAACACCATTGTTGCAGAACGAAATTCTTTGCGAAATAAATTAAAAGATTTCAAATCACTTGAATCGAAAATGGCAGATTTGCAATCGAAGAGCAGAGAAGCAGACAATCTATCCGCAAGTCTCTCTAATAGCTTGGACTCTCAATCTGAATACATTGAAAACATGGAAGAGAAATATCGACAAATGCAAGAATTTTATAGAGAAAAACTGTGTGAATGCATGATGTCAGGACAGACGCTTGAAATGCAGCTCAGAGAAATGAAGAAGGAACTTTGCTCAGATATGTATGAAATACAAAAACTGGAAATGCAAAACAGCGCTCTTCGCAACGAAATCATGTACAAGGATGTGGCGTTGTGCAACTACGAAACTCTTTGCAAGCAAATCAAATACAAAGCTAAACTGTTCCGAAATTCCGGTTATTCGATGCAGAGAGCAGGTGAAATGTGTTCATGTCAACCAAATTGTGAAAAACAGTAAAATGCATGCAGTTGAGAGTAAATACAACAAAATTTAAAAAAATTTTAATGCAGTTTTATTGTAAATATTACAACTACATTTTAAGAATAAATATTATCCACATAGTTTCTATTGTATTTAAAATTTTTTATCATGGACTGAAAACTTCTCTAATGAAAATTCTGCTATGCTACTCCGCAGTAGAAATAGTATTAAATATCTACTATGATGTTATATACGAGTATTTAAAAGAAATAATATGAATTGTTTTCCACAACAGAAATCAAACCGAAAGTTATATCCAAGAGTGCAGTACAGAAGTGCATTATTCATTTTACAAAATATCTCAAAGTTGTTTCCATACATCTCGCTTTCAAATTGATTTTATAAATATGACATGAAACTTTTAATGAATGAATGATAAACTATCAAATTGATTAATTGATAGCCTTTCAAATGTAATGATTTCAATTTTAATCACAACAATTGACACCTACTTCAACGTAAGAAAAACAGATAGTCCAGTTGGGTAATTGGTTGGCATTGAATCAGTTTTCTGCAAACGCTGCATCGTCTTCTAATGAAATGCTACTTCTTTAAAGTTACGTATCGCATGTAAAACTAAGAAGTAACTAAGAAGTAATTTTTAACAAGGCAGAAAACGAACACTTAGATCCAAACACACGGCTCTTTAGTAGCCATTAGTAGTTAAATACATATTGGTTTAAATGGGCATTTCTCGATAACAACATATTATTTTGCATAAATAATTAATAACAAAAATAAATAAAATTATTTAAGGACTGCTTAAGCTCGTATGTCTCCCACACTCTACACCAAAAATTTATGGAATATCAAATTGCCCCCTTATGTTTCAAATCGATATCTGTTACAGTAACTTCTAATTAATGAAATCAATTCACATTAAAGTGCAATTTCAAATTGCGCTTTAAACTATTAATTTAATTAGACTCACCGAATTTTTCAATTAGAAATAGCACATTTTAATTTAACAATTCTCTTCAGCTAATATTCTGCCCCTGTCTCCATAACTTCCAATCGATTCACATAGAAATTTAACTTCAGTTTGTTCTCCTTAACCGTCAAATTGCTTACCTGTGGGGTAGTTCTTTTAACGTTAAGAAGCATTGCTTTAGCATATCTCCAATATCTTCACTGCTTTATTAATTCGTTAATAAAAATTATTCTAATAGACATAGTTGCAATTTTCGTAAGAGATTTGGTTTACCTTTAGATAACAAACTATTGTAATGAATAAACAATGACTAAAAAACTTAATAAACCAAATATTATTTAAAAAGAAGAACATAACAGTTCTCTTCTATCAGTAATCAAAATATTCATGAGGAATAGACCCATTCTTATTTTGTGAAAATTTAAAATCTATCAAACACTACCCCGATTGTCTTCTCTTTATTAGTATCACTTAAGTTTGGAATTTAAACTTAATTGGACATAATGTGATAGAAATTGAATAGGTCAAAATTCTGAAAATTCAAGAAAAAAGAGATTTACGACATAACCCCACTAAATTTAAGTAAAATTGAATTATAGCAGTTTAGCATTTAAAGAAATGCCATTAGAGAAATCTATGACCTAACCCAACTATATTCTGATATTTAACTATATTTTGATCTAATAAAAATGAATATTGCTCTATTATGGCGTCGACGCCACACATAATATTGTTAGTAAAAAATACGATTGATTGATACAAATTAATAGAATTTGTATAACCGATTAATTTTCTAGAGCTCACTATATCTCCATCTTGAATGGACCAAAAAAAAAAGAAGAAAAATAATATATAATATCCAGAGATGATAAGATTATCCACTACTGACATCGTTTTTATGAATTCTCAGCATGTCGATCTAATGAAAAGTTTTACTTTCTTTTTTGTGAATGTATGAATGTAAGATAGTCACTATCAATAAATGATAATGAAATGGTAATTTAAAAAGCATTTCATGATAATTTTATTCAATTATTCGTAACATAACGAATGCTTTCAGTTTAATTTGAAACTTTTAAATTGTCATTTTAGCTCGTTAAATAAATATGTTACACTCTGACCATTTGGAAAACTCCGACGCATTAGGAAAACTTCTGATTTTGTTATTCGTAAAGGCAAAACTTAATAATATCAAGAAAATACACAGAACAGAAGTTTTTAGGTGTTTATTTGTCAACAAAATACAAGGCAAATAGAAAATATGCTAATGCGAATGGTAAAACTCCTCACACATCTACCTCGATTTGAGTGGATGAGGGGTTGATGGGTTGAGGGGATGAGAGGATGAGGGAAGGAAATTAGCACAAGGAGAACAGAACTAAAATTCAAAAACATCAAACAGGAAAATTGCTAATTTGTTAGGAGCAGAAATTTACTGCATACTTTCACATTTAAGAATGTTTTAATTTGAAATTTAATTTAATTCGAAAGTTTTAATTTTTATTACATGCAAACAACAATCGAATTAAGCAACTTGTGTAAGTTTAGGAAAAAATAAACAAATAAGAGATGTTCACCCCTGCTCTCGCCACTCAAACCAAACAAAAGAAAAGAAATATTTGAAATTTATGGCTAAAAAAAAAATCAAATAAAAAAGTGTTTTTTAAATAAAACCAAAAGACAAACAAAAAATTACAAAACAAACAAATTTACTGTAAAATTGTAAAAAGCAAAGTTATGAAAAGTTTTTCTTGCCTACATTTGTAAACTCATTACACCCACACCCACACCCACCCCGCTCACCTCACCTGCAGCCCCATCCAGCAGCAGCTACAAACTCCGAAAGTATCTCGTCAATTCTGTCTTATCTCTTATCAAGCGTTTTTAGTATTCGCATTTGTTACTAACTTTTTAGCCGAAACAACATTTTTATGCATAATTAATTGTAAAAAATTACACAAAGAGAAATAAACAAATAAACAAATAAAAAAACTGACAAAACTGCCAAAACACAGCCCGAAATTAACAACAATCAACGCCGCCGACAAATAAAAGAGAAAATATCTGAAAAAAGGCGAAAGTATCTGTAAAAGCAAGTGGCGCTGTTCGGATTTGAATAAGAAATAAAATTGTGAAAAGTGATTTAACTACTCCGAGGATTTTATTTGCTTAAGAACAAAATTAAAAATTTGTTTATTGTTTTCCTTTTGTTGTCGGAGAAGAAGACAAATGTGTGGTATTAAACCAAATAAACGCAGACCCAAAACTTGTCATGTGAATTTTTATGACAAATTCTTTGGGAGTATCTCGTACATTGAATGAAACTCCTGAAAACTTTAAGTAGTAAAAATAAGTTAAGTTTTTAGTATAACAGAACGTAAAGTGAAAAAAGAGTCTATTAGCACAACTAATCAGTAACAGTAGCAGTAACAGAAGTGGTAATTAATTAAGAAGAAACCTCGAACTCTTATAGTAGGTAAGTATCATGTAGGAGTAGATTAAACAAATAATGTAGAGTGCCATATAGGCAGATGTTAATAGATATTCCATTTTCAAATGGAATAACTATTCCTTTAAATAGTTCTTTTCTATTTGAGTTGAGAGGATAATACAACCAGAACAGTTTGTGACCAACCACTGCAAGCAATCCCGAAAGCGAAAGAATTTAAAAAAGGTCATTATCTACTTTGAATTTCTCAAGAATTTCTTAGGAAATATTTACTTTTAAATTAAAAAGATCTTGTATTAAGAGAGAGAGAGGGAGAAACAGAGAGAGTGAGAAAGAGGGGGAGAGGGAGGGAGACAAAAGAAAAACATTGTTCATGTTTAGGACAACATAACCCTACTATCTCAATCTAGTTCTTGCAAATGCTAAAAAAAAATAGATTAAATACTCTTTGTACCAACAGCCTTCACACAAAATTGATGTGTCGAATTAGTGGTAACGCCCACCACGCCCACGTGGCATCCAGTTGTATTGTACCCTCTGAATTCCCCAATTAGGACTCTTAGGTTCTTTCTCCTTAATTGTAGAAGAAGTTACACTTGCGAGTGTGCTTTTAAAAAGTTGTTTGTAATTTAATTAGAATGTTAGTGGTATAAGACATTTTTATTTAGTCATCTGTTTCACTGTGATAAAGTTCTTTCACAAATAATAGAGGCTTTTGTTTATAGATACACAGAATAAAATCCCTTCAAAAATCCTGAAACAGTTCTCGATACTTAAAGGAATATCTTGAGTAAAAGTACTTGTAACAGCAGCCAATAAGATCTAGGAAAATTTAATAATCTGTGATGCGAGAAAACACAGTTTTTAATTTAATTATTATACAATAATAATCTCCTTTGATTAGAAGATCCGTGGTTCATTACGTGTCGGCGACGAGTATCGAATAAGATGGAACAATGAGCTGTATGAGCTATATTGATATAGTTAAGCTCATAAAAATTCAGCGCCTTCGTTGGCTTGGTCATGTCTTGCGAATGGAAAAAAGTGCTGCGGTTAGAAAGATGTTTGAGTCGGTACTCGCAGGTAGAAAACGCTGTAGTGGACGTTCGCATTTTCGGCAGATTTGAGGGCGCTCCAACTGGCAACTGACTGGCTGGCTGACGTAGGCTACTCGATGCGATCAAGGACAATACAGGTCTGTAATGCCTAATTAAGTAAGTAAATATCTCTTCAAAAATAAATAAATGAACTTTTAAATTCAACGCTTTCAGTTTCTAGAAGTTATACACTTTTTGATATTCATAAAAAAAAATTTTTTGAGTTCGGATTGAAAGCAGTAAACTTTGCTTTTTAAAAATTGTCAAAAATTATTCTATTCATTATACATGTTTGCATCATCGGTTTTCAAAATGAGAAGATCATCTAAAAAAATTGAATATTAAAAATTTTGGAAACTCAGGTGTTGTATTATTGCAGTTAAAAAATAATCGAATCATGGACATTACCGAATATGTACGCCAAGATCAAAAGATTGACGAACTAATTACAAATGATAGCCGTGAAAAAGGTGGCGGTGGTGATCCAGAAACTACAGGTAAAAATAATGCAAATACTTTAGAAAAAGCATACTCCTTTCTCATAAACGAAAATGATGAAAATGTATTGTCCTCATTATCTGCTAATAACATAAGTGTGAATGATGAAGACGAAGTCATGAAAGTCACTGTTTACGACAGCTTTACCTCAGACAGTGATTACTTAAACGAATTTGTTGAAAAACGTTCAGCTGGAGATGAAGACAATATCAAAGTCATTCTTGAAACTAGCACCGATATAACATATTTGCAAAATGAGGTTAATAAATTACGCCACCAGCTCGCTGAAATTCAATATCAAAACAAATTCAAACCAACTGAGGAGGCCCATTTCGAGAAAAATGTTGACACTACTGACACCATTATAGTAAATCGAAAAGTTTTGCAAGAATTGGAATCCAAAATGAAAGAAGCAGATAGTTTATCGGCAAATCTTTCAAAATGCTTGGATGATCAATCTGAATACATTGATAATATTCAAGACAAATGTCGACAAATGCAAGAATTTTATAGAGAGCAACTATGCGAATGCATCATGTCAGGACAATCTCTGAAATCGCAGAACAGGGAAATGCAAAAGGAACTTTATTCAGATATGTATGAAATACAAAAACTTGCAATGCAAAATGGCGCACTTCGTAATGAGATCATGTATAAAGATGTGGCAGTCCGGAACTACGAAGCTATTTGCAAACAAATTGAGTTTAAGGCAAAAATGTTCCGAAATTCAGGTTATTCAATGGGAAATTCAAGTCAAGAAAATTAAATGTTTGCTATGTAACACCTTAGTTTTTAGTCAAGAGAATTTCTGAGCTGACCATTCAACAGTTACGGGTGCCGCCAATTATTAAAAAAATTTTTATTGTATTTGTTATTGTATCTGTAACTAAAACTGCAGCAATACTTTTTGGGAATATATATTATCCATCTGATATTTTTAATTTTTAATTTGATTATCGCCCACAAAATTCACTTGAAGAATATCACGAATATAAGTAAGACAAGGCATATTTACCGATTATGTCGAACAGAAACTTTACTCCTTATTGTGGGGAATGTAAATAATTAAGACTTACCGTTATCATTTTTGAGTATCATTCAAGAGAGAAAATCTAAGAATGACACTCAAAAATGATAGTCCGCACCTTTGCATAACACGCAACCAACAAGTTGGAGTGCTTACCAAAATTTTGGTGAGCTAAATACTAAATTTACAGCGTGCGTAAACACCCTTATTCGTCAAAAATTTTGCTTGAAGTACAACTCTTGAATTTGAACATGTTCAAGTTCGGTCACTAAAATAAATTTTTGAAATAATATAGTAGACAGACTCAAAACGTAAGAAAATAATGAAATAGCACTAACAAGAACTATCGAAATGAAAATCCGAAACGATAACGTTTGAGAATCAACTTTAGCAAAGTTCGATAAATGAAGTTTGAAATGTAAACATTGTGTAAAAGATATTCTGAACTAAATTCTATTTAAGAAATTATAAAGAAAAAAATTAATAATTTAATAAAATGTAGTAAGCTTTGCTTTTCGGAATATTAAAATTCTTGTATAATTCATAACAGAAATTGAGCAGATCGCTTCAAATTTTCTGTGCTCACAAATTCTAAAAATTCGTATATATTTTGTGCATGTAGTTTAGAAATAATCGAAACATGGAGAATTCTGAGCGTATCCTTGAAGCATTAAAAAAAACAAAGGCAGGAACAAATGACGAAATAATCCACGAAATTGCCACTGCAGAGAAGGTATTTTTTTATCTTATAAGATAATACCAAAAACTAAAATTTCTTATTAAATATGTTTGTAGTTGCCTACCGCCGAAGTTGTTAAGGTTCTTTTTCCCTCCAAGGTAAATGCACCAACCGCTTTGTTGATCCCAGAAGACAAAATTCCTGAGGCTGGCTCCGTAGAAAAATGTATTACTGAAGTTGTTCATCCCACTATCTCAGAGCAATGTGTTGAACTAGTCGCGGAGCTGGCTGCCCTTGAAAGTGTAAGTAAACAAAAATAACAGCGATATATATGCAAATATTATGAGGCTTTCATAGTACCATATATAATCACATATATATATCACATATCACATATATTAGTGATATATTATTCAACAATAATTATCTCTCCTTCAAATAAATATTAAAGAAGTCAGTAAATACTTTTGTAAAAATAGACGGTCTCATAATTCAAAATATCCTCTAACCACACAACATCGCTAGTCGGTAATATTCATTTTTTATATGCAGTATGTTCATTCTAAGAGACCTTTCATTAGTTCGTTAAACTAATGGAATTGTGGACCAGTCTATATTCGGTGAAGAGAACTTTTCTGTAATTACGTTATATCGACCAGTCTGCGGTGTATAATATATTTTCAACATTATGATTTATATTTCTTCTTACAAGTAAGCCCGAAAATTTATTTATAAATTCTTCAAGTAGTAAGCAGACTTAATCAGCGATGTATGTAGTGCTCCAATTACATTGTTAGTATATTTTAAATATCAATATGATATTGATTATAAATTTAAAAATATAATTACTTATCTATTATTCTTATTATTATTTCAGATATCTATTTCTGCAGTAGTGGACGCTTTTGCTGAACTGGATTCAACATATGGAGGCGATTCTGACTCAGAAGCTGGCTCTCATTTCTCTGCAGAATAATTCCTAAAACTTTCTGTTAACATCACAAACATTGTAGTATCTGTGAAGACAACACTGGCCCAGAAACTGGCTCAGAACTCTCTGCGAAAGTTAGATACCGTTTTTCCTGTATTTTTCAAACAATATACCAATTTTTATGCTAACTGTTAGTCGAAAGAAATAATTTAACGAAATAATAAATTAAACTTAAGTTTAATCAATAGAACAGCAACACAATAACGGGTTTTTATTGACAAAGAGGAAATAGTATTTATGTACTGATATATTTAGGAATGCAATAATCCAAAACTGCTCTAATGACATTAGGTACTTCACTAGCTGCATTCCATAAAACTTTATTTCAATGTAAATAATGAAGTCAGATTAAGTTAGGTTAGTTTAAGTTATTGTGGCAGTCAGTGTAGTGATATCGCTGTTTGCATGATATCTTAACACCTTCTACTTATGGAACTTTTACCATGAATTCAGATCGAGAACAATTAATTCGAGGCATAATTACCTTAGGAACTCACTCTGCTACTGAAAGAGTTTTCCACATTTACTACTACTAACACCCTGTATACGTGAGTAAAGTAAAGGTTCTTACTCTGTAATAGATATGATCTCAATTTAGTAAGACAATTCATGTTAGTCTAGAAAAATTTTACATATATTTAAAATCAATTTTATTGACATCAAAATAAAAGCAGTAATATTTGATTTTTATATTTAGATATATTAAATAATGTGATGAATTAAATTAAACAATTTTTCATTTAACATTTTTTCTGTAGCTCAAAATTACTTATTGATATTTAAAATGGCTCAAAATCGCAAAAAGTATAAAACCTCACGAGTGCTTAGGGCTCTGAAAAATACAAAGGGTAGTACTTATACAGAGATCGTGAAAGAGATGACTGAAACAAAAGGTGTAAGTACATTCTAGTCCAATAAATTTGTATTAACTATTTGTATTCCGTCGGTAGAGACACTAGCAAGAATGATTATAAATTAATTAGAGATTAGCTTAAAATTAATTACATTTGTCGAAAAAAAATATAAGTAGTTAAGTCTAGTCGCAAAATAGAGGGAAACCATAGAAATGATAGAATATAAACTTCAATCACAAATTTAAAATTGTTTGATAAGACGTATTGATATATGAAATAAGAAGAAACCTCATATATAAATTTTGTACTGTGATACTATTTCTAAAAGAATTATTAACAAATTTTTTTTAAAATATGGCTACATAATTTCTAAGTTATTAGCGACATGGATTTTAAATGGATTAAAAACTACTACGCGATTAAAGATATATATGCTCCATTCGTGTTTAATACTGAATATGTATTCTGTTCTGATCGAGTAGAGTATTATTCGACACTGGCCTTAATGACGTCAACAGTTTCATCTATTCCTCCACTCCCTACTTTTGGCAATACAATACTGAACGCACTGCATTGCGAATTATTTAATCGTATTTCAAGTAGTCGATCCAGTTCGTCAGTAGTATTAGACTAAAATTGGATAAAATGCTAATTATTGAAAACTAATTGAAAAAGCAAATACAGCCATTGGTCGGACATACCTAAGTCCATGGTACTTAACCAAACAGTTACATATATATAAATACTATCAGCTCATTGTTAAAAGATAAATACATTATGTGCTGCCATCTTTTAAAATTAAACTGCTTAAAAAAGAGTCTTTATATTTAAAATCCAAGTTTAATAAATTTTTACAGCATTTTTGATTTGTACTAAATTTTATGTATTAGAATCAAGTTATTAGACGAATAAGATATGCTTATACGTATTTAATGAATAAGTTATCGATATGTGGTGTTAATCGAAAACTTCATATTTATAATTTCAGTTTACAATTGGAGAAGTCATTGAAGGCCTCACTATTTCGCAGCAATATGTCTCATTTCCTGCATTTGGCAACAAAAAGGAACGAGCAAAAACATACTATGAAGACTTTCAGTATCATGTCTCTAAAAATATGAAGTACTGCGATTTAGTAAAACAATTCGCTAAAAAAGAAAATGTAAGCTTTAAAAATTTAAATAGTGGTGCTTTCTTTTAAACTTTATTAACAATTTTTTATACACATAAACCTATGTTTGTTTTAATCAATATATATATATATATATTGAATCCTTTAACTCCTAGGAGGAGCATAGGGCCGCAATATTATTATTAATTGCGGTTTCTTTAATCAGTTGTTAAAGATGGGCCTACCGAATTATTCAAAATTGGTTGTAACTAATTTACCATATATTTGTTTACTAACATATAGATATATTTATAGTAAGAAGAATTTAAATAAAGTTTAAAGCTTTTCGTTCATTTATATCTATTAAGGTTTCCGTAGAAGACATATTGAGCGTTCTTGATATCCTAGACGAAGAAAATAAGCAGCTTTCAAAACCAAAGAAAAGAGCAAATCGTTTCAGGAAAAAAACTGCTGGTCGTAAAGCTAAGCGAATGAAGGACCACGTGTTATGCAGGTATTGCGGCAAACCTAAGAGATGTAGATCGAAATAAAGTGTCCACCTTATGAATGCCCTTCAGTTTTATATGGACTTTAACACGTTTGAAACCAAATTACTTTGACTGTTGTAACAAATTTTTTGTTATAAATAAAATAATTTATTAGAATAAATTATATGTGATGTAAGTCGAAAGTAAATATTTCTGGTAAAGTATTATTCAAAGAACAACAGGAATAAATAACCTTATTTTCTTATGTGTACAATTTTTGATCCAAAAAGAGCAAATCCAAACAAATATCTGTTAAACATCTTTTAGAATTTTTTGGGGTATTAGCAAAATCTGTGGTACATTTGTTATATCTAAATGTTGTGATATTTGCAGTACAGGGACAATAATAACTCTAGTTGTCATTGTTGAAAATAGTTATATTCAGAATACACCAAAAGTAATTGAAGAGATCCTTGAAATTTATGAATAATCATATCAAAATATTTAGTTGAAATAGATAATTTGATTTTAGAGTAAATATGATTTGTTATACTAACACAGTATATCTCCATATTCTTATTTATATCTGAAAACAGAATTTTTACTATAATTTTGTTTGTGACTACCTAAATGTGCCTTCTTCTCTAGAGCAATTAAATAAATTTCTTTGGAGATACGTTGCCTTATGAATTCTGAAACTTATTTACATTAACAAGCACAGACCCACCACAATGCCTAGATAACCATACTTAAAAATTATTATCCTTGCTATGCGCCTTTAATTAAAATGAAATATATTGTAAGTATTCGGCTTTTTCGGCTAGATTTCGCTGATAAGAAGGAAAGTAACACAGAAAAAAAGAAATAAATATTTTATGCTAATAAGAAAAATTACGCGAAAATATGCAAATTAAAAAGTACAAAGTTTCGCGTCTTTGGTAGCACATGTTAATACAACGAATACTTGGCACAAACAGTGGCAACCCTAGCCCAACCCAAAACCCGAGAGGATATTAGTATCATGCCCATAATTTACATTTTTTACTCATTTTCTTTTTATGTACGAAATAAACGCTACAATATATTTTTTTCGTCTGCTTTTCTCCTTTCCTTTCCATTTCCATCTCTTCAATTTTTCTTTTTTCATTTTGCATTTTTCATTTTTTACCAATTTTTATCGCCAACATTTGTCAAGACAATTGTACATTTTATCACGTAATATTAAATCCTTTACGTAGCCAATGCAAGAAAGTTAAGTAGCAAAAATGAAATGGAGCAAATAGTTAATATTTTTCCCCAAAGAAATGTAAAAGATAAAAACAGAATATACTGTAAGTATGAGAAAAAAGAAAAATTTGACAAAACTTATCAAAAAAAAAGATCAGAAAAATTCACACCTTTGAGTTTGAATGCCGAAAATGTGTAAAAGTGCCAATTTTTTTGTGTCAAAATTAAATTATTACACCTTTGGGAATGTGTCATAATAAAAGTTGACAAGTTTGGAATCGTTTGTGCGTTACAACAACATTTTGAAAGCCCCTAAATATTTTGAGTAGCCGAGCGAACTACTGCGGTACGCTACGAATTGTCAGTGGAGCCAGCACCGCAGCAAAAAAAAAAAATATCACATATTTGAACGACGCACTCGAAAGGACATCATATGCCCCTTGATTCAAACAGGACTAATATTGAGAAGACGAGACGAGAAGAAAAGCACTGTTGAAACGAATTTAATTTACAGCAATATTGCGTACTTTCATTGAAAGTTCTTTGCAGTTCATTCTTTCAGTTTCAGTAACTAAAAGTAACTTATCTGTGTCCTAACCAATTTGTAGGCAACCAACGTGCGTTACGTTAGGCGCGTGCACCTACCGCTTTTAAGTTTCACAATCAGTGCGTAACGATTTAAATGCGTACCTGTCAGCATTCGCTTACGGAATAGCCGTGGTCGGCCCCCTACGCACAAAAAGTCATCTGAACTCAACACAGCCAAGGCAATGACATGGGCTGGGAAGCCATATAAACAAATAATACCAGCCACTAATATTGTTATTGTATTAGTGTTATTGTTGACCCTCATTTGTCATTTTTTCTCCAATGCTCTTCCCACTTTTTAGAGTTGCTTTTCGTGTCGTTCATTTACTTTCAAGTTTCTTCGATTCTTTGAGTTATTTCTGTATACTCTGACCATTCCGGTGAGGTGTGTTGTAATTTTTTCTGTATTATGTTGCATTGTACATCGTTTGTCATGACACAACTTCCAACATTTAATTTGACTATGAAACTTTTTGAATTTTCTCCAATATACATAAACAGTTCAAGAATTCGAGAAGACAATGATTGAACTGTGCTGCACGTGTGCCCATTGGCTTTCCTTCCAATAATTTAATAGAATAGTTAGTGTAAGGCTTCTGGTGAGAGGGAAAATTTTTTATTTCATAATGCAAAAAGGCAACACAATCTGAGGTGTGTGCGGAAATTAAATTTTTGCATTATTGCTACTTGATTGAATTTAGTAATATTGCAATAAATAAAAATCTTCTCAATAATATTTATTAAAATATTATATTTTTCAATTTCCGTGTAGATTAATTTTATACTTTATTCCGAAAAGAAAAAAACAATGTTTTTTGTTCAATAATCCAATCATAAATTTTTGAATATCCAAAAGTTATTAACTTTATTGTTATAATAAATGCACAAACGATTAAGAGATAAGAAATTATAAAGTTATCATGTACTGAACATTGGATTGCTACTTATTGATGCATAAGAGCTGTAAATAAGTACAGAAGATTTCTGAAGAGATTTACGCTCACATAAGGAAGAGCATCTAAAATTTCAGACATTAATTTTTAGACAGAAATTCTTTTTAACTCAAATCATTTTTCTCAGTAATGTTACAACTCTTTGACTATTCTATGCTCTGTTGCTTATTATTCAACATAATCCCTCATCAACTCGATAGACACATTTCTCCTAATAATACTACAATAATATTAACCGCTCTGAGCTCTGTATTGCTGTATAATCTTCAAAATAACCATATAAAGCGGATAAAGTCAATACATTTGACTGGAATTTTTATTGTGCTATGGAGTCTCACACCTTTAGAAAGGTAGTCTGCTTTATATCTAAACTGGGTTTCATATCAACTAAAAAATAAAAATAGTAAGGTCATTCAGAATGGAATTTTTGAAACTTTGTTAGAAAAACTACTAAACTGTAAGTCATTACTATTACGTTGCGGTTAGTTGAGTCAGTGCACTTGAGGACTTTAACTCTCTATTAACTGCGAGGTTTCTTCATAACCCCCCTTGGCTGGATTATTGTTAATCACTTCATCAGACTAAACAATAATCGACCGCAGATCTGCATACCTCCCCGAGGAGCTTGTAACCATTTTGAGATTCGATAACGCGGTGTTGGTAAGCCAGTCAGTTTTCGTAAATGATTTCAAGCTTCTCTCCTTTAAATATTTTTTCATCGGATCAATCTTGATATCCCTGAGGAATTCGTTTGTCTTAATGTACCATGACACATTGAAAAATCTTCTCAGACCCTGGCTTTGTATAATTTGTGGCGAATAGTAGTTTTGAGGCCTTGCTGAATGCTACACATCCATATAGAAACAACGATTGAATTATTTGTTATTTGTATCAGCTTCCTATTCTAAGCATTAAGATTTTCATTTTGAATATCGGTTGGAGGTGATGAAGAATATTGGCAAAGCTAATTGTCGTCAGTTGTCTGTAAGTTAGCTTTTATTCCTTGTTAAAATTGAAACTTTTTTCTTCGGAAGTGAGCATTGTTCAGCGATTTCGGTTTAAATGCAGTAGTAGTTCATTATTTTCTTTTTCTCTCTTCTCTTAATTAATATTAATATTAATCAGAATTAATATTAATTCCGAACATTAAAACCCCTAAAATCATTATATTTATTATATTGAGTTAATTGTGCTATCACTACATTAATTTTCTCATCAATTACAAATTTTCTTTGATCTTTATATCAATTATTATACTTTATTATACATTAACTTTATTACGGTTTAACTTTTCCTAAACCGTTGCATATTCTTTTAAAGTTCTTCTGGCATAAAATCTGCATTATTGAACAGATAATACGATATGAGACTTTAAAATGACTTTGCATTTCACACTTGGCTTTTAGTGCTACTGCTTATAAGGTTATATTTCACATATTATCTGATAAATCTATAAAATGGACTTTAAGTGCACTTTGAGCGTATAATCAGATTACTTAGCACTCATCAGGAACTCGTATACTTTTGCTGCCGTAGTGTAAAACTGTGCAAAATAATTTCAATTACTAGGCTTAGTAGAAGCTAAAAAAGTATTATACATAAAAGGATTGCTAGTTATTCAAACTAAATTTACTGAACGCTTACGCACAGAGAAAGGCAACCGCACAATCAATTTTAATCACGCAGATGAAGGGCGATTCAGCTCATTGCTTTCTGGCTGCGCTGATATCTGACTTATTTGGCCTTTTTTTATTTTTTTAATTGAATTTTTTAAAGTTTTTTCTGTGCTTTCAATTGATTGAGGAAAAAATTCCATTTCAGTTGAATTAAACATTTTTTTGCTAACAGATTGAAGAGTTACAGTAAAAAGCAAATATAAATGCCTGGCAAAATGAACACCCGTAAAACCCATAAATACAAAGAGGCGCCACTCTGCTCCGCTCAAAATGGTTTGCTCGTGTAGTTGCACGCTGGCACGTGTAATTCCAAATACACATGCACTTCAATCTGTACCTGCAATCAGATAAACGCGAAATAAACAGAAAAATTTAATTATTTGCTTTTATATATATTCGATTTGATTTCATGCTTTAAATATTTCTTTGATTTCAATTCAACAAATTCGCACGGCACTCTTTACACCGCCACGCCACCACACCGCCTCACCACAACATATAGAAACATTACTGTGTTGGTGGCTGTGGAAATTGCAGCTTTTATTCTACAAATAGAAGAAAGAAAACTACTGGTTTGAATATCTGTGGGTGTCCAATGCAAAATGTGGCATCAAATAGTGTGCAAACACATATTAAGTGTAAAAAAATGGTAGTAAATATGGCCACAAACGTTAATTGCGATTAAATTTCATTTATTCCACAATATTTTGT